CCATGGTTTTGCTCTCTGACGTACACAGACTGGGGGCAGTACTGGCTGCTCCATGGTCTGCTCTCTGATTTACACAGACTGAGGGCAGTGCTGGCTCGTCCATGGTCTGCTCTCTGATGTACACAGACTGAGGGCAGTGCTGGCTACTCCATGGTCTGCTCTCTGATGTACACAGCCTGAAGGCAGTGCTGGCTAGTCCATGGTCTGCTCTCTGATGTACACAGAGTGAGATCAGTGCTCACTAGTCCATGGTCTGCCCTCTGATGTACAGGGACTGAGGGCAGTGCTGGCTCATCCAGGGGCTGATCTCTGATATACAGGGACTGAGTGCAGTGCTGGCTAGTCCATGGTCTGCTCGCTGATGTACACAGACTGAGGGCAGTGCTGGCTCCTCCATGGTCTGCTCTCTGTTGTACATAGTCTGAGAGGAGTGCTGGGTAGTCCATGGCCTGCTCTCTGATGTACAGGTACTGAGAGCAGTGCTCGCGAGTCCATGGTTTGCTCTCACATGTACATGGACTGAGAGCAGTGCTGGCCAGTCCATTCTCTGCTATATGATGTACACAGACTGAGGGCAGTGGTGGCTCGACCATGGTCTGCTCTCTGATGGACACAGTCTGAGAGCAGTCCTCTCTAGTCGATGGTCTGCTCTCTGATGTACACAGACTGAGGGCAGTGCTGGTTAGTCCATGGTCTGCTCTCTTATGTACACAGACTGAGGTCAGTGCTGGCTAGTCCATGGTCGGCTCTCTGATGAACACAGACTGAGGGCAGTGCTGGATAGTCCATGGTCTGCTCTCTGACGTACACAGACTGAGGGCAGTGCTGGCTAGTCCATGGTCTGCTCACTGATGTACACAGCCTGAGGGCAGTGCTGGCTAGTCCATGGTCTGCTCTCTGATGTACAGGGACTGAGTGCAGTGCTGGCTAGACCATTACCTGCTCTCCAGTATGCAGGGACTGAGAGCAGTGCTGGCTAGTCCATGGTCTGCTCTGTGATGTTCACAGACTGAGGGCAGTGCTGGCTCGTCCATGGTCTGCGCTTTGACGTACTCAGACTGAGAGCAGTGCTGGCTAGTTGATGGTCTTTTCTCTGATCTTCACAGACTGAGGGCATTGCTGGCTAGTCCATGGTCTGCTCTGTGATGTACAGGTACTGAGGGCATTGCTGGCTAGTCCATGGTCTGCTCTCTGATGTACAAATACTGAGGGCAGTGCTGGCTAGTCCATGGTCTGCTCTCCGATGTACTCAGACTGAGGGCAGTGCTGGTTAGTCCATGGTCCGCTCTCCGATGTACACAGACTGAGGGCAGTGCTGGCTCGTCCACGGTCTACTCTCTGATGTACACGGACTGAGGGCAGTGCTGGCGAGTCCATGGTCTGCTCTCTGATGTGCAGGGATTGAGGGCAGTGCTGGCTAGTCCATTGTCTACTCTGTGATGTACACACACTGAGGGCAGTGCTGGCTCGACCATGGTCGGCTCTCTGATGTACACAGTCTGAGAGCAGTGCTCTCTAGTCGATGGT